GGAGTATTATTTGAGATGGTTGAATTATTTATGTTCAGATAGTAGTGGATCCAGAGAATAAACATCAAACATTTGAAATATTTGTTTTGTATATACTGCATTCATAATGCTTAAGGTTTCTCATGTAGATGCATTGCGTTTCTGAGTGTGATTCAAAACTAATTTCAGAGACTGTTCTCTATGTAGGTAACATTAATTACCTTTGCATTTTGACCAGGTTTTGTTTATCTCATTGAATATTTCCCTACTTTTGATATAATTGTACTCGTGTGGACTGCATTGATAATAAAATATACCTAATAACTTTTTTACTGTGCTGGAATGGATCGCTGTTCTTGCTGCCATTGATAAAACAGTGCAATTTGTCTTCTTTTTAAATGCTGCTTAAGCAACTAAGAGGGCAATGGAAAATAAAGAGGAAGCAAAAAAGCTATATTACAGAACTAAGGGAAATCGATTAATAATTGTAGTTACTATGCTATAATGCTTTCAAATGTCACTAGATTTTGTTGTTTAGTTCTATTTTTTAACAGAACAACAGAGTTGAAAGGGACCTTGGAGGTCTTCTAGTCCAACCCCCTGCTCAGGCAGGAAGCCCTATACCATTTCAGACAAATGGTTGTCTAATCTCTTCTTTAAAACTTCCAGGGTTGGAGCACACACAACTTCTGGAGGCAAGTCGTTCCACTGATAAATTGTTCTAACTGTCAGGAATGTTCTCCTTCGTTCTAGGTTGGTTTTCTCTCCTTGATTAGTTTCCATCCATCAGTTATTGTCCTTCCTTTTGAAACAAATATTTCTAAAACACTGTTATTGTTTTAAACAGATCTCCACTGTAATTTAATTTTGAATTTATAAGTATGTACATAAGCGTACATCAAAGTTACAACATATAGGGACCTATGTAGTCTTTCTTTGGGTGTTTTTTTCTTAAAATGATTCTATAGGATCTACCTTTATCAATAGTGCTCTGCTGGGTACAAGTTAAAATATCTTGAGATACACACCATATTTTATGGAAAGCACATATTCTGTACATTAATTTCAAATCATTCATTGAAAATGGCAACTGAAACACAATTATTGCTCAGTAATCTATATGACAAAGTTACTACTAACAATACCTGCTCTTACCCTTTATATTTAACAGAAGCTAATTCAAAACTGTCATAGATGAAGCATTTTCTATCAAAGAGGAAATGATAGGAAAAAATCATTTTTTAAAAAAAATTCCTGCATAGGAGATGCTGCCAAAATCCCAGACACAGAGTTATTCGACAAAGTTGACAGCTTTAATGGCACAGTGTTTTTGGACACAGTAAAACCATGGCACTCCCCACTTTTTACCTTATAACTTCTATTTATTCTGGTTTGAATGATTACAAGTATCCAATCTTTTTAGTCTGAATTAGGTGGGTCAAAATACCTCAAATAATTAGGTATTTTATTGGCAGAACATTCCCTATTGTTTTCCAAGTTATCTCAAAATACTTAAAAAAATAAAACTTGTAAAATACATGGCCTCAGTTGCCAGTGGACAGGAAGTATGACTCCTGCATATGTTTCAGAGGCTGAAAAGGCTATTAGAAAAGCACTGCAGGTTCCCTCAGATGTGTCCGGAAAGGAAATCACTACACAAAGTCTTACTTCTTTCCATGACGCATCTCCAACTGACTTGTACCCTGCCCACATTGAAAAACAACTCTCTTAAATATCATGATGTTTAAGTACAAGATATGGCAATGAATGGTAAATTTACAGAAATATTGACGACAGGAAAATAAAGGAGTAAAGGAGATTAATAATAAATAAAATTAAAATAAATTTCACATACAGTCTAAATTCACACATAATGGTAAGCAAAGATTTTTAACTACAGATTGCTGGGGAAAAAAGCTAACTCACACAGTTCAGAGATGGGCAACCACTTTGTGGCTAGGAGATACACATTGTAAAACACCTTCTCAGCTTTTAAGGGTTGTAGAGTTTTTGATGAGGGAATCAGGACTTTCTACTGGAGGCTAACACAACTCCTGTACTTTCTGTCTTTCTTTCTTTCTCTTTAATGAAAAATGTTGCTGCTGCAATTGGCAGGTTTCTGCCAACTCAATGTTGGGGCATACTGGATGCCATGAAAAATGGTCTGCAGATCACTTATGACTCACTGATAGCTTATTTCTGCAACCATTGGTGAATTTGGGTAAAGCAAAAACCTAAATCCCATTACGTCCTAATGCAATGTGTAAGAATCACTTGTAGTTCGATTACACTGCCTATTCTATTATCTGGGTATCAGTTGGAGATTAGTTTTTCCTCCAAAGAGTATATCCATTATTGCACAGGTTGGGCACAAACTAACCCAAGTCATGCCATTTCACACATGAAGAAAAATACTTAGTTATTCTAGCAACTGCAGCAAAACATTACTTGGGAAAGATTCCCAATCTCACTATTCCTAGTTATGGGCCATAAATTGGAACAGATATCCACAACTTCTAAGGACAGACATTGTTGCTTTTTTTTTTTTTAAAAAAAAAATCTGTTTCAAGATGTTACAACATATAATAGTAAATGAGAATGACCTTGGGGGTCAAGGGAAAGAGATGCTGGCTAGAAAACAATGGGTCAAGAGAGTGGGGAGCCCCCAATGGCTTAACAGTCAGAGGAAAAAACTTAGAAAGGACCCACTTCCTACTCAGTTGATAACTAAGAATCCTAACAGTATTCCCAATATTGAAATATGTTCTCCTTTTCTGGTTTTTATGCACTTGCTATTTCCCCAATTTATTGTTCCTATTGATAAAAACAGCAGTAAAGGTTTTTTTTTTGTTGTCCAAATAGAAAAGGAGGGGAAAAAGAAAGAAAACTATTGGCACTTTGCTCTTAATGGATTTCTAGCAAAACATCCCATCTTAAATCTTCTCCCAGATTCACTTTCCCTCCGAAAAAAAGCTGGATTGTATAATTTGATAATTTTCACGATCTCAAATACTTTTCCTACCGAGAGGCAAGGTTATTCTGCAACTATGATAGCCATCCTGAATGCAAGGCTGAACCTTAATTTTTAATTTCACGTTAGTCTCATCCCTCTGATAATTAAGACACTGCACTTCATTCTCCTCCCTCGGGAAAACCCTTCTAGCGAACATTCAGGCATTTTGCCAATCAGGCAAAATTGACAGCAAGTATGAATCTGGAGAGGTTGGCTGCATTCTGCTGAAGCAGTCCTTTAGCCTTTAACTCCTCTTTAGTACAGAACAGTTTTTGTTTATAAATACAAAAAAGAACTCTCCAGCAGCTTCGCATTTCTTCCTTACAAGGAATCCAAAAGTTGCTTGGATGTATTTCCCAACTGCAGTATTACTGCAGCAAATTACTGGAATACATTAGGAAATTAATTCTCCAGACAAATTAGCTTAACAGCAAGCTATGTTAAAAATGTTGAATTTTAATTCAGATTTATGAACGTAAAGTAAAAAAGGGAGAAATAAGGTCTCTGTTCATAAATCTTAATAGATTTATGTTTCCTTCTTTTCTTCTCTGAGGAAATTTCATGTTAATATCCCATAGCCATGTATGGTGCACATAAAAGTAGTTTTATAGAAAGAAACAGGCAACCCCTTCCCCTCAAAAAAGATATACCCTCATTACAATCAATTTGATTTTGTCTTTTGAACTGCAATTTTTTTAGGCATGGCAGGATAAGTTTTCTTAAGTTTTCTGCTTTAAGGAACAGAAAGAGCAGATGAAATCTATTCTTTTTAAATCAGGGTTTCATAGCCTGATTTATTTATTTGGAAATGCAACTCTTGCGCTTCAAATAAATGTGCTTAGACTTGCAATTTTATTTAGGTGATCTAAGAAATGCATGGATTACTGATTTTCAACCATAGAAAGTTTTGTACTTGCCAATACTTATCCTTGAACCATGAGGTAGCATAATAAGAGTACAGAGCCTATAAATATATAAAGACTCAAAATGAAGCCCTAAGAAAGTTTGGAGTCACTTGTTTGTGGGATGGGTGGTCATAATAATATGACAAAATAAAATAAATAAATAAATAAAATTATTAGATTTATGGTTTAAATGCATGGTTTAAAACCTTGGCATAGCACTGGTGACCTCAGCCAAGGCGAGATATCAATGCGATGTGATTGCAGTAAACAGGGCATTTTGAATTAAGAAAGAACAAGAGACAGAGGTAAAAGTGGGGCCAGCAACAAAATGTAAATTCTCAATACAGGGTCCTCTTTGTGATCTTTCTGGAATCTCTCTTTACAGTGAGAATTTGGGGGGGGGGCAGGGACAGCATTTTTAGAGTTTTTAAGAAACATTTGAAAAACTTCCCCCAACTTTATCGATTCTGCTTTGCTATCCATGATTAATTCCAAATTTATACACCCTTTAAAGCAGTCTATTACTTAAAATACTCTTGCCAAGGATATACGTTGTACAATTTGTATTGTTACAATGTCTAGCCACGTGAACTGTCATTACATAGTTAAGAGTGAAACTATCTGCTTACAAAAGTGCAAATATTCAGCGTTTTTCTCCAGTTTGAAGTGATTTCAGTTAATACATGTAAGAGTTGAAAGGCATGATGTCTCTGCTCAGACCTAGCCATACCCCTGCCCCCCTTCCCATGAACAGAACCAGTGGGGGAAGTCTACCATATATCTTAGTTTCCTTTGAATCTCTTAACCATATACAACAGGGATCCCCAACCCCCGGGCAGCGGCCCACTACTGGACCACATCCTATTTGCAACTGGGTCACGTGAGCACATGTGCATGTGCAGCTCAACTCATGCGAGCAGAAGGCCGCAGCACTTGCTCATGCACACACAGCTCCACTTGTAGTCGAGTTGCATGTGCATGTGCATGCACACTGCTCTCCCCTCACCTCCCCAAGCAGGGCTGCCAAGCCACAAAGGTTGGGAACCTCTGATATACAGAATATCTTTTTCTTGGAAATGTAAAAGTAATTTATCTCTGTTTACCTGTGGCTCCCTCTCATGTTTGCTGGGATCTTTTTCATAGCTCTCCGCATAGATTCTAAGGGTGGCTCGCACATGGCTTGAAGCACTTAATCTAAAGATGAGTCTGGAAGCATCAGTGAATATAATCCTCAACCCCTGTAGAGAAAATAAATATTATATAAGCATGGAAACAGAATTCTTGAGAACAATAATGTAAATGTTACTATACTGTAGCATTTAAGAGTTCATTTGCAACAATAACTGATTTTCTTATTCAACAGAAGAATATAATTTTCAACCTTATTCTATATATCTGTACAATTGGAATTGTTTGGCTTGTCTGCCAATTAAAATAGAAATGATTCGTGTTATTCTTACTATTTGGGCCTTGGAGATATTGTCCATTAATAAAATTGTCACATTTATAATAGCAAAAGTTAAAGATAATACACATTTCTATTTCACTTTCCAATTGCTATGTTTGGAATCCACTCAAACCTAGTTGCTGCTGCTGGCAGTGAAGGATAAAGCAAAAGCGAAAAATTATTCAAATTCTCAATTATCTTCCTTAGTCTTGGTCTGGTTCTTACAGATTATTTCTCTTTCAATGATGTCATGTTATGTGAAAAAAAATCTCCTGGACATACTTGTCTTTTGGTCACAGTGCCATCTACGGGATCCACGTATTCAAAGTTAGTTCCTTTCTGCACAGTGTAAACATTGTTTCCAACAGCAAACTGTTGATTAGTGAAAGATTTGTCAGTGATCAAGGCTTCCAGGTCTCTCATTATGTAGTATGCCATTCTAGGATCCAGTGCTTCATAATCAAATCTTGTATTGTAAAAAAGAGAAGAAATATGTAAAAAGTTCATATGTATTATTTATTTATGAAATCTGTTACGGCTGCATTTATATGACTCGGCAGCTGACAGTTAAAATGGGATAGAAACAGAATAAAAACAAAACCAGTAATTAAACACATACATAAATAAGAAATAGCAATCAAGCTTTCCACAATAATATAGCTGAGAAACAGCTCACCCACATTACCAAGGCTCCAATTTTGATGGCAAAGCCAAGTTTTAGTGCCCTGTGAAAGACCAGAGGTTTGGGAAAGTCTGATCTTGGTGAGGTGGAAGGATGTTCTGAAGAGTGGGTGCCATGTCAGAAAATTAGAAATGCAATACATACAGGACAATTTTAAATCTCTCCAGACACCTGGGTCTGAATCTGGTTCTGTGCTGTAGTTCTTGTCTAGCTGGGAGCAGAGGAATGAGAGCTTTGCTACTTTGGAAAAGTGTGGGAAATCCATATCCATCTATTATTTTTATACTGCTGATGCATCCCGTTGATTTTACCAGATCTATGGTTCCAGATATGATGGCATAAACCAGGGATGTCCAACCTTGTCAAACTTTAAGACTTGTGGACTTCATCTCCCAGAATTCCTCAGCCAGCCATACAAAGTCCACAGTTTTAAAGTCACCAAAATTGGACAGCCCTGGTATAAATGACACTACTACAACTTTAATGTTATAATTATTAGACCACATTTATCTATTTCATGATTTTCCTTTTATAATAAAATGCAAATAAAAGTTCAATGACATTAAATAATACACGGATAAAACATCTTCATCATTCTTAATATTTTTTTAGCTTTAGAATACCAATATTGTCCGGTTTTGATTTTTTTGGGATTATGCTGTTATTCATTTTTAAAATGTATGAAAGTTGAACTCCATATCTTGGCTATAAATTAATAGCATTCAAATTCTATCTGAATGCAGGAGTTCACTTTACAATGATTACCACTTCTCCATGCTGCAGTAAAAACCAATATTGTAGTTTTTGCAAAAATTGAAATGATGGTTTGTGGTTCGACACACCCACACTCATAATTGTAATTACTTTTATCGTTATTTCTAAAGGCATAAAACAGATGTGGTAAAAAACTGAATTAAAATGGCTATTATTCTGCTGATAACTCTTCACCTGCAATAATAGTGACGGCCAAATTTTGTCCAGTGATCTCTAACAATTTCCTCCACGCCCTGCTTTCGAGCTGCCATAATTGAGAGCCAAATTAAAACAGCCCAAAGTCCATCTTTCTCTCGGATGTGGTCAGATCCTATGGAAAAAATAGTAAACATATTATAAAATAAGAGATAATCTCATTTGGATTGGAAATTGGATTGGAAAGATTGCTATTTAGTGAATTACTGTACTTCCCAAATATGTGAGAATATTCTTACTATATTAAAAATGGACTAGGATTTGGATAATTTGATAGTTTTTGTTTATGCAAGATAGGTAAAACAACAAACTTCAACTTCTCCAGACTGGTCCCCTTCCTAATCCTTTATTACACTTATTGATTGCTTTTTTAAAATTCCATGCATTTTAAAAAAGAACAGTTTATCAATTAATAGTATACAACCAGAGAGAGCCAGTTTGGTATAATGGTTAAAGGCAATGAAACTAGGAGACTGGGAGTTCTAGTCTGCCTTAAGAACAAAACTAGCTGGGTGACTTTGGGCCAGACATTTTCTCTTAATCCTAGGAAGAAGAAAGAGCAAATAATCTCTGGAAAGCTTTCAAGAAAAAAAGAGTTTTACTAAATATAAGCCAGAATGGTTCCCCTATATATCCTATATCATACAACAAGGCAAACTCAGACATTAAGAATATGGTAACGGGAAATAATTAACATACAAAGAGAAGTAATTGGACTGTTTATAAGTATCTTGATGCAATTATAAGTCAGGTTGGGAAGAAATTTAGAATTTTGTGATTTTACTGATTTTACTGATTTTTCTACTTTTTTCTCTTTTCTGTTTTTTTTTCTTCTTCTTTTCTTTTACTTAATATGATTATCTGCATTTATTCTGGGCACTATGACAAGTGGTATCATTAATAACAATGTCAATAGTACTATTTAAAATTTTATATAGATTTTTAGTTATTTCTTAAGGTGATACTATGAATCTAGTTCTATGTATTTAATTAATGAAATAATGAATTTTAAATTTTATGATAATTGTAAATAATTATTGACTAGATCCTTTCCCACTTTTTTCTTTTATGTAGCTATTTATTCTATTCTTTAAATGCTATTTTTTTAAAAAAAATAAAGCACACATAGCAAAAGTACTAAATAAAATGGATGAAATATAATGTAGAATGTTTTATGGATAAATACTAATCCTGCCAATATACTTCAGAAGAGTTCATCGTTAAATTTCTATCAACTCGAGTTCACTGAGCAAAAACACACATACATTTCAAGCAGAGAATACACATTAGAATTTCATGTTCATATAAGGTTAAGTTGCTGTTCTGATTCATATTTTAAGTAGACGGAGAAGTCAAGAGAGAAATCATTTAGAAATCCTGCAGTCCAACTCAAAATTGAATTAGCTATTTTTATTTATAGAGGTTTTCATGGCACAAAGTGATTGGCATTGACTTATTCAGTGGAGGGTAAAACGATGAAGCATGTCTAACTTCATCGCACAAAAGCTGCAACTTATATATTTGCATAAGATGCTGAGAGGCAAGTATGCAATGGCAGCTTTGGCCATTAATGGCACCATCCATGTATTTTGTACTTTGGCATTATAATGGTTTGGAGATCATTAAGTGCTTACTTATGCATTATTGTTATTCTGTTCTTCTTTACTTCCTTTTACCACTTTGGGTGTTGAGGGAGATACAAAGTTCTGGCTCTTGCTTTTCTGGCGCTCTCAACCATTGTTAATTGATGTTTTTGTAGTGCATCTTTGATGTTGTCCCTCCATCTTTTTCTGGGCCTGCCTCATGTCCTTTGACCTTCTCCTCTTTTTGTATATACCTCGTACGGTCTGGAATCCCCCGACATCCTCTCCAGGTGAGCTAACCACTTTATTTGCTGTTTTTGAATGTATTTGTATTTGTATGCATAACGTTCTTCCAAAATGTTTTATAGAGAATTTAGCATGTTTTTGTTGTTTGGGGTAAATGCCAATATACTGCTAATATAGGAACAAAATCTTTTTCTGTTGTATCAAAAAAGTCTTCTAGATATCCTGTATTTGCTTTTGCTCAAAAAATTCAGAATTAAGAGGGGCTAATCTGATGTACAGAGATTTGATTAACATATGAGACCTGATGAGGGTGAAGGCAGATATTAGCCATTATTGTAAATATGAGACCTGACTCTATGTTTAATACATTCAGCAGAAATTTATTTGATAGTCTTATTAGAGCCTTGGTGGTGCATCAGACTAAAGTGCTGTTAAGTAGCACTTAGCTGCCAGCTGCCTGCAATTACTGCGAGTTCAAATCTCACCAGGCTCAAGGTTGACTCAGCCTTCCATCCTTCCGAGGTAGGTAAAATGAGGACTTAGATTGTGGGGGCAATAAACTGACTTTGTATAAAAAAGAACACCGCTTGGGGGGGCGAAAGCCCTACTAAGCAGGTATATACAAAAGTATGAAGGCTATTGCTTAATGCATTGTAAGCCACCCTGAGTCTCCGGAGAAGGGCGGCATATAAATCGAACCAATAAATTTCCGTCAATTCCATCACAACATGGAAACAGCATTGGTCGCCCTAGTGAATGATCTCTGGCGGGCCCGTGATGGGAGTTGTTCCTCCATCCTGGTCCTTCTTGACCTCTCAGCGGCTTTCGATACCATCGACCATAGTATCCTACTGCAGCGACTCGGGAGGTTGGGGATAGGAGGCACTGTTCTGCAGTGGTTCCCCTCCTATCTCTCGGGCCGCTTGCAGTTTGTATCAGCGGGGGGTCAGAGATCCTCCCAGAGGCCCCTCACTTGTGGGGTGCCTCAGAGATCGGTTCTCTCCCCCCTGCTCTTTAATATCTATATGAAGCCACTGGGTGAGATCATTCGTGGTTTTGGGGTGAGGTATCACCAATATGCGGATGATACCCAGCTTTATAACTACAGGTGCTGTAGTTTTACAATAGAGGAAGTCCTCAACTTACAACAGTTCATTTAGTGATCGTTTAAAGTTAAAATGGCACTGAAAAAAGTGACTTATGAGCCTTTTTCAGTGTTACAACCTTTGTAGCGTCCCCATGATCATGTGATCAAAATTCAGATACTTGACAAATGGTCATATTTATGACCATTGCTTATCCCAAGGTCACGTGATCCCCTTTTGTGACCTTCTGACCAGCAAAGTCAATGGGGAAGCCAGATTCATTTAACAACTGGATTACTAATTTATCAATTGCAGTGATTCACTTAACAATTGTGGCAAGAAAGGTTGTAGAATGGGGCAAAATCCAGTTAATAAATGTCTCACTTAGCAATAGAAATTTTGGGCTCAATTGTGGTCTTAAATCAAGGACTACCTGCATTCAGAAATGCTTTCAAAGTATTAATCTTACCAGTGCCAAAACTTTCTTCTCCACAAAGAGAGCATCGACCAGAATCCATCAGATTTGAGAAGAATCTCCATCCTGCCGGTGTTTCATATACAGGTACTTTCATTGATTTTGCAACCCTAAAAAAAGACATTATACAACATACCTTATTAATATACTATAGTTTTTTGAATAGATAGCTATAGCATTATTTAAAAGCATTCATTTTAAGTAAAGCCATGAATTAAAAACTGGATTCAGGTTCTGGCCATAACAACCTATCACATGCCACTTAGTACAGTTGTACTAAGAAGTTTAAATACAGTTTTAAAAAAATATTTCTTAGAAGAACAAAATGCTATATTCCCCTGAAATTTTTTTCCTTTGAAAATTTCCCCCCAAATAATTTAATGTTTACAAATATTGTAAAGTAGCAGATATTGTAAAAAGGGATGTCAAGTTTTCATTAATTCCTTTTTTTAAAATTTTCTTTTCTTTCTTTTTTCTTTTGTAGGTATTTTAATTCTTATTAAATTTTCTTTATTTGTCTAATTATTTTCTTTATAATGTCTCTCTATGTGTGTTAGTAATTTCCAGGCTTTCAATTGCATTAAATGAGAATAATCAAACACAATTAAATTTTACTTAGTTATCCTTTCTCTCTCTTTTCCTCCCTCCCTCTTTCTCTCTCTCTCACACACATACAACTTTAACATACAGATACACAGCTTAACTGATATGCCACCCAGCCTCATGTCTCTTTTCGATATAATCAATATCTCTAGCATATTTTCCTAACTCTTTCACTGGAAGGATCCTTGAAATAATTTTCAGCTCTCGGGAGACTCTGGCAAAAAATACAATTGCTTCACTATACAATTCATTTCTAACTTACACAATTTATGATTTATAATGTTTACAACATCAGCAAACCAGGCTGTGCCACTGCAAGTACTAGCATTTCAAAAAGCAGGGTTTTATTTTAAATCATGACCTAGGGTTTCTATGAAAACTAATTGAAAAACACTGCTCTATACTGTACCTTAGAAATCAGGATATAATAAAATACGTCCACAAAGGTAAATTATAGATTGCATATATATTAGCCAAGGTATTATTTGGAATAAGTACAACAAATATTTTAACTTTAAATAAGATACTTTAATTTATGTGTAATTAACTCTGGTACAAGATCTGTTTTGTGAGAGAAAATTATGATCATTGATTTAGTGCAACTTGAAATTCAAAATGTTAGCTAGCTATTTCAATGCAGGAAGCTTGTCTTCAAATTAATCCAAGATGAAGTATGCAGTCCTTTTTGTACCATTTTTAATGCCAATAATACCCAATAATTGCTACTTTTAGATGTTTTTCATATACCAAAATAGCTATAATTGCTTGTTACATATGCACACAAAAATTCACATAGTTTACAGAAGAGTATATTTTGATCTTGATGAATAAAGCAAATAGCTTGTTGTATCTTTAGAAAATTTTATTTTATTTACTTTGTTACTTTCACAGCATGTTTACGATATAATACAATATAAAACAAAAACATTAGTATAAATTTCACAAGTGAAATATCTGGGTTGCAATAATCCATTTGACCACTGAATAGCGCCAAACCAGTTTACAATAACTCTCTGCTGCCTTAATGATGATTGACAAAGTTTTGCAGCCCAGATATCATAGCCCTACATATAAGGAAAATATTTTACAATGAATTGTAATGCTTTATTTTTTTCCTACAGAAATAAAATTTCAAATTGTTGCAGCTTTCCAGTCTTGGCATTTAATTCCCTAATCTGAAATGGAGAAGGCAGTCACAGAAAATCCCCACGCAAACTGGCTTAAATAAATACCCTCCACCCAACACAAACACAAATTCAAAAAGTCAGTACAAAGGCATTAGGAGTGAAACAATGAAGTAGTATCTATTCAAAATAAATATTATAAACTTGACATACAGTGCCATGCCAGTTTTCAAATATCTGTTTGTTGAATATTTCTATAGCAATATGGTTGACACATTAACAAAAAATTAACTTCAGGTAGTCCTTAACTTACGATCAGAATTGAGCCCAAAATTTCTGTTGCTAAGTGAGAAATTTGTTAAGTGAGTTTTGCCTGTTTTGTGACTCTTTTTGCCACAGTTGTTAAATTAGCAACATGGTTGTTAAGTAAATCTGGCTTCCCCATTGACTTTGCTTGCTGCAAGGCCGCAAAAGGTGATCACATGACCCCAGGACACTGGAACGGTCATAAATATGACTCAGTTGCTAAGATCTGAATTTTGATCAGGTGACCAGGTGTGATCAGGTGTGGATGCTGCAATGGTTGTAAGTATGAAAAACGGTCATAAATGTTTTTTTCAGTGTCTTTGTAACTTCGAAGTCACTAAATGAACTGTTGTAAGTTAAGGACTACCTATACATTATGTTCTAGGGAACCAAGCCAGTGTGGCATTCAAAAATTGTGACAGAAAATATCTAACATTCCCACTCCTCACAATATCATAGATTATCCTTTCGAACAGATGGGAACACATTTTTTAATTCAGAAATTCTAGATAAGATCTCTGGAACTACAGAGAGAAATATATTGTCTCAGTTTTTCATGGATAGAAAGTGATGGTTCATCTAAGTAACTATGATTTGTTAAACTACTCAGGCCAGACAAATTGCTGTTACAGTATAAAATATCAAATTAAAATTGTACACTAATATTATCATCTTTTATGGCATATTAGGCAACCTGTGCCCTATTAGGTCATCCTTTCAGAAATATTTCCAAAACAGAGAAATAAAATGATCACGAGAGCGCAAAAGAAGCAGTGGGCATGGAAGCAATCCTCAACTTCTTGCAGGCTTCCCCACTGAGTTTCCTTTTGGGAACTCAATGGGGAAGCCTTCAAGAAGTTGGACATTGTTTCCATTTCTCCTGCTTTTTTGCACCTTCATGGTTATTAGAAATCCTTCTTTAGAAGATTAGCAATCTTCCTTCCTTCCTTCCTTCCTTCCTTCCTTCCTTCCTTCCTTCCTTTATCCTCTCGTCTTCCTTCGTTCCTTCCTCCCTCCCTCTTTCCCTTCCTCCTTAGAATTACTGCAGGCTTTTCCATTTACTTCATCTACAAGCTTTACCTAAGCTTGTAGGGAGAAAATCAATGGGAAAATCAGCAAAACGTTGCAGGCTGAAGGCCAGTATGCAGGTAAGTCTCTGCTGCTTTGTGGGGAAGGGAGAAAGGAGGTGCACTGGGGTGTGGTTCAGCAATTGTACATGGGAGTACATAAGGAGTGGTGAGGGTCAGGGAGGATATGCAGGGATGCACAAGAAGTACCACATGGTTGAGGAGGGTTCACTGGGGGGGGGGGGGGGGGGGGAAGCATTGAATTGGGGAAATGTACAGGGGTGTTATAGGCCAGAAAAGGTACACTGGGTTCCTTCCTCTCTGTTCCTCCTTCCTTCCCTATTTCTCTTTTCCTTTTTTCATTTTTCCGACTTCCCCTTTTCCTCCCTCCCTATTCTGTATTAGCCCATTTGAGGTACCTTGTTCCCCTATGATGCATTGTTTTGCCCTGTTAAATGACATGACAATGAGAGTTTTAGTAGTATACAGATAAATATGTAAGGAGACTTGTGAAATTAAAAAAATGATTTGAAAGTAACAGCTAGCTAGTTTTACTGGGCCGAGAAATGGAAAATGTTAAAAACAAAGATACGTACTGTACTTATCTTCAAATATACTTAACCCTCAAAGTTTCGACTGTTTCATCTTCAGACAAAATGAGTGTAATATAGAAGATTTATGAAGGTTTTATGTGATGTATTCCATGAACAGAATGGGAGTATAATCAAGAACATCTGTGAGAGCAGCCAAGGACCATGATAAGGCATTTGACAATTTTTGCAGCCTGCATATTTTTTTAATGGAAAGTACTTCAAAAGTTACTGGCGTTACTATTGAATTCAGTGGAGGTTTTACTTCAAAGTATATGCAAAGACAGCAGTTTATTTTGTAAAACTTTGCAATAATGTGTAAGCCAAGAGACAAATCACAAAAATGCTATCTTGTATGAAGAACTCGGACAGTAATTTTCTCTGTTGTTCTGGAGATCTTTTCTAAGATTTCTGAATTATTTAAAAAAACCTCTTTTCCTTTCTATTCGAAGTGTTTATCGCTGGAGCTTGTACTTCTCATATGATTCTAACAGTAGAAAAGAGGCAGGTCTATGAAATACATGTTTGGTTTCTGGATATTTTCACTCTGCAGGCACGGAGTTCCCTTAAAAGGCATCAAGTGTATATACCAAGAGTAGAACCAGGCAACTGCCAATATCCCATATATGGTAAGCACTGCAGCTGCTACTCCCATTATTTTGGATTTATGTGCAAAAAATAAAATAAAATAAATAAAACTCAGGAACTGCAGCTTTGACCCAGCAAACAGATAAAAAGGATGCTTCAGAAAGATAAGAAACATAATGATTAAATGGCCTTCTTGGATAAAATATTACAGAACTGGAAGGGAATTCAGTAAAACACTGCTTTTCCAATATCCTTCTTACATCTGCCTAATGATGGCTCAGCTAATTCAGACTTACTTGTAAACAAAACCACATGCTGTCTGTAGAATCCTAGTATGATATTGTTTAGGACAACCAGATATGGGCTGCAGTAATCTGAATGATTGTTGATAGAAGGCAAGGAAGGGCTCATTTTTTTCTGTAAATTTTTGTTGCCATTTAATGGTTGGCTGGATTTTCAGAGCCAAGACAGAATAATCTATACATTTTTAATGCAGCATATCCATTACTTCAATTAAAGAAATCTTACTTTATTTTATAAATTGCATTCATGACACTGCAAATAAATCTATTTGTTCAATTAAAATATTCAGTATTTTGAAAGATTCCCTGACTCCTAATACAGGGGTTCCCAACCTCTGGTCCGTGGACTGGCACAAGTCTGGGGCATGCCAGAAACTGGGTCACGCAAACAAGCAAAGCCCCATCCACGGAATGCAAGTGGCACATAAAACCACATCCCCTCCAGTCTGTGGAAAAAGCTGTCTCAAACAGAACCGGTCCCAGATACCCAAAAGGCTGGGGGCCACTGCTCTAGTATATTCTATAAGCAT